GGGGGGGGGAGGAGTGGGAGGTGGACTAGAGGTATGGAGGGGGAGGAGCGGGAGTGGGACTAGAGGGGGGGAGGGGAGGGGGGGGAGGGGGTGTGGGATTAGAGGGAGGGAGGGGGCGGAGTGGGAGTGGGACTATGGAGGGGGGGGAGGGGGACTAGAAGGAGGGGGGGGGGGGAGGAGGTAGAGGGTAGGGGAGGGGAGGGGGGGGAGGGGGTGTGGGATTAGAGGGAGGGAGGGGGAGGAATGGGAAGGGGACTAGAGGTAGGGAGTGGGAGGAGGGGGAGTGGGGCTAGAGGTAGGGGGGGGGGGGGGGGGGTGGGGGTGGGGCTAGAGGTAGGGCGGGGGGGGAGGGGGAGTGGGGCTAGAGGTAGGGCGGGGGGGGAGGGGGAGTGGGACTAGCGGTAGGGAGGGGGAGGAGAGGGAATGGGACAAGAGGTAGGGAGGGGGAGGAGAGGGAATGGGACAAGAGGTAGGGAGGGGGATGAGTGGGACTAGAGGTAGGAAGGGGGAGGAGTGGGAGGGGGAGTAGAGGTAGGGAGGGGAAGAGTGGGAGTGGGACTATGGAGGGGGAGGAGGGGGTGTGGGACTAGAGGTAGGAAGGGGGGGAGGGAAACTACAGGTAGGGGGGGGGAATAGGAGTTGGACTAGGGGTAGGGAGGGGGGGAGTGGGACTAGGGGTAGGGGGGGGAGGAGTGGGAGTGGGACTATGGAGGGGGGGGAGGGGGACTAGAGGAAGGGAGGGGAGGAGTGGGACTCGAGGTAGGGAGGGGAGGCGTGGGAGTGGGACTAGAGGGGGGGAGGGGGAGGAGGGGGAGTTGGACTAGAGGAAGGGAGGGGAGGAGTGGGACTAGGGGTAGGGGGGGGGAGGGGTGGGAGTAGAGGTAGGGAGGGGGGGGGGGGGGCCTAGAGGTAGGGAGGGGTGGAGGGGGAGTGGGACTGGAGGGAGGGGGGGGGGGGGGCCTAGAGGTAGGGAGGGGTGGAGGGGGAGTGGGACTGGAGGTGGGGGGGGGGGGAGTGGGACAAGAGGTGGGAAGGGGAGGAGTGGGAGTAGGGGTAGGGGGGGGGAGGAGTGGGAGGGGGAGTAGAGGTAGGGAGGGGGAGGGGTGGGAGTAGGACTAGGGGTGGGGAGGGGAGGAGTGGGCCTAGAGGTAGGGAGGGGTGGAGTGGGAGTGGGACTATGGAGGGGGAGGAGGGGGACTAGGGGTGGGGGGGGGGAATAGGTGTTGGACGAGAGGTGGGGAGGGGGAGGAGGGGGAGTTGGACTAGAGGAAGGGCGGGGGTGGAGTGGGAGTGGGACTAGGGGGAGGGAGGGGGGGGAGTGGGGCTAGGAGGAGGGGGGGGGAGGAGTGGGAGTGTGACTAGAGGTAGGGAGGGGGAGGAGTAGGAGTGGGACTAGAGGTAGAGAGGGGGAGGAGTGGGACTAGAGGTAGGGAGGGGAGGAGTGGGACTAGAGGTAGGGAAGGGGAGGAGGGGGAC